GAGAGAGAGAGAGAGAGAGAGAGAGAGAGAGAGAGAGAGAGAGAGATTGTAGAAGTTCGGCCTCACACAGTGAGAAATATTGTCAGGAAAAAATTGACAGAAGGTAGCATTGCACTATTGTTGTCTAATCTTATTTAAGGGGGGACTGCGCGCACATAACAATTTTTTTCGAATTTTTAGTTTCCTTTACTAGTCAACGGCATTTTTTACTAAAATCTTTGCACCGCGCGGTACACTTTCTGGCAAGATGGAAGTTGGCATGGCATGATCAGAGATGCTAAATGAAAGGTAACAACTCAATTTATATTTTGATCGTCTTCGATTTGCTGATTTAGCTTTACTTGTTTTTTAAATTAATTTTAAAGTTTAACTTTTTTATTATTTTTTAAATTTTCATGCATTTTTCATCCAAAATCTTGAATCAAAAATAGTTTAAGAAAAACTGAAATCTTTAAAAATTAATCGAAGACGAACAAAATATAGATTTAGTTGTTACCTTTCATTTAGCATTTCTAATTATGCCATGCCACCTTCGATTTTGTCGGAAAGTGTACTGTAGTATTCATGAAACTTAAGTCCTTGCTGATGGCGACCCAGTCATCGGAGGACCAAGTTATCAACATAAAACTGCTCTACATAAAATTCCTTATAACTTGTATTAAGTACACTTTTCATGAACATCATAGCCACCCGAAATCAAAATTCGAAAAAGCAGTAAAAAGTGTGCGGTGTCCCCCCTTAAATAAAGTTTCAAAGCATTGGTGTGCTGGCCATTACATGAGTGACTGAATAAAAAACGCTGTTAAAAACCTGATTAGCATGTTTAAGAAACTCGTATTGCAAAGAATCCAGCTTAACATTAGAGTTCTGAAACAAGTGACCAAACCAGATCTCTGAAACGTAGGTCATCATTGGGAAAATTACTGTTTTAAATAGAAGTAGTCTTTTTTTGGGAACTGATGCCTCAATTTTTCCCCCCAGCGCAAACATGACATTTTTTACTTTTGTGGTTTTGGCAATTAGATCGAGGATATGAGAGTGAAATTTGAGTTCTGAGAGAGATAGAAATATAATGTAAATGCGGTTTGAGCAAAAGATCGACGTGATTTTAGGTTATTCTTAGCTAGCCTGATTGTCTTGATACCTGCCTTGTAAGCCTTTTGCTTTTTAATTCATAACAAAATAAAGCATTTTAGTTTTATAGTTGTGAAGTAAAAACTTTTCCCTCTACCGATTGCGACCTTTTTGACTAGTTTTGCTACATTGATTCTGCATTATTTGTCTACATCTAAAAGGATGACTTGTACAACCATCGACTGTTTTGGCACAATATCTGACACTTGTGAATGCGATGTTATCATTGAGAGCGACTGTGACAGTTTTATCGCATATACGTACCTTAAAAATCATTAGGACAGGCAGGAGAACGTCTGTTGCCTGTTTTGTACTTCACATATTTTCACACATTTTTCTTTCAACTTGTGAGAAATATAAATTTTTTTTGTTTTTTATTATACTCTTCCCCTCACCGTATATCTTCGCAGCAGATTCAGGACGTGAAAGAGAGTGTGGAGCAGGTGGTTGCGAAACAAGCACCATACGAAGCGCCCAAGCCGGCACCGAAGCAGACGTACCAGAAACCAGCACCGAAGCAGACCTATCAGAAGCCAGCACCAGCCCTAGCCCCACTAGCTCCTAAGCCTTCAGCCTACCCGAAGGCGGCACCGAAGGCACAGCCAACCTACGCCAAGCCAGTGCCCAAGCCAAAGCAGGCTGCCTACCAGCCAGCCCCTGCACAGCAATACTAGGCCCTAGATACACACGATCTCAAACGCTACTGCAATACTACTTACAATCTATTAATAAAAAGGGCTACTTTTTAACTACTTTTTAACATTGTTGTTTTTGACTATTTATTTGACCCACCACTACAATCAATCATTCAATCAACTGCTATAGTTTGAAATGCGGCCAGTGATAAAATCAGGTTAGATTTACTTGCTATTGAACACATGAGCACTTGATATTTTTTACTCATACTTTATTAGTTAATGAAAAACCTGACAGTTTAACGTACAAAAAAAACGTCCATTGATCAAAATGTATTAGGAGCTCACCCTACTTAGACTTCATCTGGCGGTAGAAAACAAATGCAATGATGGCGAGAATAAAACCACCACCAGTTATAGCAATGAGAATCCACATCCAGGATCGACTTTTCGATGAAACCTTTGGTGTGAAAACAAAGGTACAGTAAGAAAAGGCATTGCCTTTGTTTTACAGTACCTTTGTGTATATGTTTGATTTTATTGTTTCCCGACTTGAAGTTTTGTTCCGGTAAAAACTATCGATGCAAATGTAGTTTCCACTTTTGAGACTTTCGTTTATGATAAAGTCAAAAGAACTCAAATTTTTGAGATATGATCCATTTTCAACATAAATTGAGGCGTTATCAACTCTATTAAAACGCGCTTTTGTGTCGTTTTCTTTAGCAAAAAAGAAAACCAAATTAGAAAATTTAAAAAACAAATAGTTCAAAATTAATCATACCGGATGCATTAAAAAATGCTAACATTTCGTCATTGTAATTCAACGAAAAATTAAAATTGTATAACTTAGTATTTTTAGTAAAATTGACAGTACAGGTGAACTGATTAATCTCGGTTGTATGATTTTGTGTCGAATTGAGATGCAGAGTGACTTGCTCATTATCACATGAACAAAGTAGTAGCCAGAAGAAAGCCAAAAAAGCCGCCAGAAAGAGATGATTAAGTGTATCCATTTTCAGTGAAACAATTCAAACTAAACTTTTAAGTTTCATTTCCAAGAGCATATATACAGGTATGCTGACTGCACTCTCAGCAACCGGATCCTCTTGAACTCCTAAGCAACCTATTTACGACATTCGAGCACTTTTCTTTAAAAGAAAGGTACACATCTGTTGTTGCTGACTAAACCATTTTAATCATAAATTACTTATGAAAATTGACAAATCAAAACAAGAAAAATGTACAAGCTGAAACAAAACAAGGACTGATCTGATCAACTAGTAGTACTCTCTAGATTTTACCCCCTTCACGCGATTTTTGCTGTATTTGATGAAAAGGTGAACACAATAGATCAGCCCACCTATTGCAGAAAAGCCCAGAACAATCCACAACCAGGTGAGATTTTTTGTTGGCCTTCGAGGAATAACTTTTCCTCCAGAAGTAGAATTATTCGGTTCAGTCGTTCGTTTGACGGTCAGTGCAGCCACTGGCGTTGTCGTTTTAGGCTTTTCCAGCTTCAGTTCAGAAGAGTGCTCATCAAGGAGACTACCATTTTGGTATATCACCTCAAGTCGACAGAAGTAGTCCCCAAAAGCAGCATCCGAAGAGGGCATCAAGGTGAAGGTAAACCAGTTTAGATTTCTGTCAGCAGAAGTATTGGCGGTCATGTTGAGGCTGTAGTTCTGCAGAGCAGTGGAAAAGGTTCTCATGGAGGCATTGAATGTTTCTGACGAAAAAAGAAATAAGGTTGGGAAAAATTACTTAAAACGATTTACTTACGATACTTCTCCCAAACGGCCAACGTGTTTCTCGAGCCAAGGCCATCGATGAGGAGCTTCATCTGGAGAAAGTGAACGTTCGCCAGAAGGCTTACATCGGCGAGGCTGCAGTTGACAGTAAAGCTAGGACTTGGTTCCGTAGAGGTGATAATCACTTTTGCAATGGTAACTGATTCTACTGATTCGGTCGTTTGACCGTCAGAGGTTGACAGCACGCACAACAAAGACAGAAGGAGAAATCGATACATTGCCTTGTTTGATTGGACAACTCACTATTGTTGCTCGATTCTGCAGAATTTTCTCGCAACTACTATTCTCTCAATTCAGTCTTATTTATAAAATTTTTCCAAGTTGTGGCTTCTCGTCTCTCATTTGGGATATCTGATTTGCTCCAATATTCAAATCGCAGTGGTAGTTCGTCGCAATAGTAAAAACAATAAAGCCCACAGCAATTAAAACTCATCCTGCCTAATGGCGTCCACAAATGTGTGGCACCATTAAAGTTGCTCCTCTCAATCGTATGACTGCCCGTCGTTACGATTGATGGCAGGTAGCAATGCCTGGTGATCATTAAACTTGGAGATGGATAAATATGTGATTTCAAACTCAAGTGGAAAGACGCTGTGTCGCGGTGAAAAAACATTGAACTAGAATTCGCAGGAACACTGAAAAATAGTATTGATCAAAGTCAAACTTTCACTAATGGTACAACCGATTTAAATGGAGACAAACAACTCCGATGAACCGTAAAAGCAGTTGAGTACCTTTTGAGAGTTCGTTTAGATTGCAAGCAAGCAATCAAAAATTCAAAAACAAAAACCAAGTCAGGTCGGCTATGACCACCTAAAAGGCATAACGCAGCTCAAACAGCGGCATGTTTTCAAAGTTCAAAGATTTGTTCATTTGTTTGTCCTCGTCACAGTTTACGTTTGTTTCAACGCCTATCCCTTATCTGTACCGCTTATCACCTCTGCTTCGGCGAATGTCTCCACCAGTGGACAACGAAATGTACGGCATACGTGAAGTGTGGGCGTCAAACTTGGACAAGGAGATGGCCACCATCTGCCGCCTCGTTGCACACTACCCTTACGTTGCAATGGACACGGAGTTTCCGGGGGTCGTTGCCCGACCGAACGGGTACTTCGCCACCAGCACTGACCATATCTACCACACCATGCGTGTCAATGTCAACCTACTGAAGCTGATTCAACTGGGACTAACGCTGATGGACGAAGAGGGGCGGACACCGCCGGGCGGAATTAATACATGGCAGTTTAATTTTAGATTTAGCCTCGCTAATGATATGTACAATTACGCGTCCATCAATCTGCTCTCAGAGTCGGGACTGCAGTTCAAGAAGCACGAAGAGGAAGGCATCGATCCGACAGAGTTTGCCGTCAAACTGACTGGCTCAGGCGTTGTTCTCTGCGAGAACATTAGCTGGTTGAGCTTTCACTCAGGTTACGATTTTGGCTATCTTCTTCGCTTGCTGATGGGCGTTCCACTGCCGGACAATGTCAGCGAGTTTTTTGAACTGCTGAATATTTACTTTCCTCGTATTTTCGATCTGAAGTACATATTGAAGAGTACAATGGATCTGAAGGGCGGCCTGGGCGATGTAAGTGTCTCGGCAATGCTAAATGATTGACTCATATAATAAATATTTTAATGCCTTTCTCTCCTCTAACAACAGGTAGCCAAGCAATTAACCCTCGAAAGAAAAGGCGCACAACATCAGGCTGGCAGCGATAGTCTTCTCACTGGTGAAACGTTCTTCAGACTTCGCAAACTTCTGCCAGAGGAAAACATTGAAGATGACCGCTTTGTTAGTGTCATCTATGGTCTGCGTGTCAATGACTATCTCTACAAGGGAAACACTACACTGGGCGATGAAGAGGAAGAAGAAGCCATCACAATGACAAAGACTACCAAAGTGGAAAAAGAAGAGACAAATGTCGTTGTTGTAGAAGAAGAAATGAAATTGCTTGACTTTAGTGAGATCAACAACAATGTAAAAGAGAAGAATCATTTTGGCCTAACCACTTACGACATTTGGGGCTCTGGTATGATTTTACCACCGTTTGACGTGATGACTACCACTATGTTTGGCACGCAAACGATGACCTATACTAGTGAATTAAAGTAAAAGTAAAATAATTTATTATTACAAAGATATGGAGTGAAAATTATAAACAGGCGGTCTACATTTGAAAGGAACATTAAAGAGAGTCCTTTCCTCAAGGTAAACTTAGTGTGTTGTGTTTATTTTTAACCTCGTTTTCATTAAAATGACCTATTTCTAAAGTTTATATTTTTTACTAGACCGGTGAACGAATTAGCAAACACGCAACAGTTGAAATTGAAATCAAAGTATTGAAATATTTAGAGTTTACATAACTTAAAACACTAAAGTTACCTTAGCAATGGTCCTTACTTTTATTTTATATGACAAAATCTTTGCTTGCTTAGAGATTATTTGCTGAAAAATGCAGCAATTTCTTTTTCTAAGTTCAGTAGTTTTAATTTCTCAATCAAGCCCATTACCTTTTCGGCGCTACAAAGCTCTTTCAAATAATAACGGCATTTATGACGGGGAATGCATGTGCCTTACACATGTTTTGATTTGATTGCCCATTTCTTGCATCACATGAATTTGAAGAACCCGGATTTTCGTAATTGAAGCATACTATCGCCATAATCACTTCAAGCAGATGAGTGGATTTAGTTCAGCTTTGAAGCTTACCGACTTGAACGATTTCATTCAACCATCACAGGTTTGTATAGTCCATTGGCAGGTTCTTTTCTCCGACAAATCCTAGACCACCTAGATCATCTTGACTACTGTAAAAGCAACACAAGAAAATATGGCCGATCAGCGAGCTAGTACCACCAGTAACGCAGCAGCGTTGGACACTTCCGATGAGGATTTCGACTTTTTCTACGACTACGCCAAGGCGGCACAACTGAGAGCCGAAGGTCGCTCTGAAGGATGGACCGAGGAGAACTGGGAGACGGAAATGGAGAAGCACCCGCTGTTCATTAGCAGCAATCCACAGCCCAATTCTGCCCCCTCACCACTCGTAGACGCCCTGACGCAACTAAAGTACGACCCTGAATTCAACTCGCCTCTGGAATTGATGGAGTCGTACAAAGCTGATGGCAATGAGAACTTTCGCATTAAAAAGTACCGCTGGGCTGCTGATAACTATTCGGAGGGCGTTCGCATTGCCCGTCGAGAACTCTCAAAAACAGACACTGCTCCGATTGCTCTTGAGGATAAGGTGAAGATTATCAAACTAGTGGCGACGCTTTACAACAACCGAGCATCGGCAAATTTTTTCCTTGAAAACTATCGCTCATCAGCTAGAGACGCCAAGCTTGCCTACTCCCTAGACCCGACGCACCAGAAGGCGATTCTTCGTGTAAGCAAGTGCCTTCAAGCGCTTGGAAAGTTTTCCGATCTGATCGACTACTGCCAAAGTCAGCTATCAGCAGAGAGCCGAGCAAAGCCTGATGCTGCCACAGTTGCCGAGCTTCGACAGACCCTCAAATCAGCGACCACCTCGCTGAAGCTTCAGGAGCGAGACCAGCGAAAGGCGGCGGCAGCAGAAGAGCGTCGAATGACGGCTCGACAGGAGATCGAGAATGCCGTCACCAGGCGAGGCATCGTCTACCGAGGGTCGCTTTTCGAGACTGACCACGGTGCCGCTGTTCACGGCCACCTTGTGCACTTTTCCGATGAGGAGCCTGAAGCAGGCTTCGAGCGACCTCTCATCTGGCCGGTCATCTTTGTCTTTCCTGAAACTGGCCAAAGCGACTTTATTGAGGCCTTCCACGAGAGCACCACCTTTCTGGAGATGTTCAAAGTGATGTTTGCATCGCCTGCTGAGTGGGACCGGGAAGGAGCGTACGTACCTGAGCGACTGCGACTCTGGTACCACTCTTACGAGGATGAACGCTACTCAGGCCTCATCCTCAAAGAACTCGTCCCTACGAGTACAATTGACCTGCTGTCTGCAATGAGAGCACCCGGGTTCATTGTTACCAATGCCATTCCAACGTTTGTGGTTACGCTTGAAGAGCCCAGAGGATGAGAAGGAACACCGTTTTTGTCAATGCTGTCGCTGTACCACTGATGACAATTAAAGTTTGCTTGTTTTACCACACAAACAAAACTAACACTTGACTACTCTTCTCTTCTCAGGCATGCATCAAGCCAGTGGAGGTGTCGAAAAAGGATGAAAGTCTCAGCGAGGAGGGAGGCGATGGCATCACCATCAACAAGTCCAAAGGATGGAAGGCACGGGCGCAGAAGAAGAGCGACGACGACGGCAGTGTCAAGAAAGCAGTGCCCGAGGCTCCGAAGCCACTGAATGTAACGCTGGGCGACTGTCTGGCGTGCTCCGGTTGTATCACCTCGGCTGAGGCAGTCCTCATTGCTGAGCAGTCACACGAGAAGGTGCTCGAGGTGCTGGAGAGAAAGAAAAAGGTATTCAGGGAAGGATGGAAACACTTTCTGATAGCTTTTGCTTACCGAAATTTTTGCTTTTCCTTAGCAGGATCCCATCACTTCTGATCTGGTCATTGTCCTGTCGCTCTCACTGCAGAGCATTGCCTCTCTGGCGGCCAAGTACCGTCTGTCAATGCAAACAGCCGCAGAAAAGATTGCCGGCGCCTTTCACTCTCTGGGCGTAGACTACGTCCTCGATGTGGCCCTCGCCAGGCAGATCAGTCTAATTGAGGCGGCACGGGAGTTCACCTCAGCAAGGACACTCAACGCAGAGAAGAGGACACTGCTCAGCTCAACCTGTCCTGGATTCGTCTGCTATGCGGAGAAATCACAGGGCTCTATACTGGTGCCGATGCTCTCTCGGGTAAAGTCACCGCAGCAAATTATGGGTCTGCTCGTCAAGAAGCGCTTTCATCTTCTTTGCGGTGACTCAAAAGGGAGGAAAAATCCGTCGTCAATTTACCACATTACGCTGATGCCGTGTTATGACAAAAAGCTGGAGGCGTCAAGGCTCGACAACCGACTGGAAGGTGACGCCGAGGGTGTGCCTGAAGTAGACTGTGTTATTACGCCCATTGAAGTGGAGAAGCTGTTGGAGATGTGCTCTCTGAAGCTGCCTGATGTGCCAGAAAGACGGCTGGACCTCCTCTACAAAAACTTCTACCCAACAGTTGAAGGTGACGAAGTGCATGGACTTCGATCACATGACGGATCAGGAGCAGGTGGCTACGCAGAGAACCTTTTCCGCTTCGTTGCCACACAGATGTATGGTGAACAGGTGGCGAAGAGTGGACCTGAAGCATTGAAGAAGCTCAGCTGGAAGACACTACGCAACACTGACTACCTCGAGTTGAAGCTCTTTGAGAATGGCAGTACAGATGCCAGTGACAGCAGTGAAAAGGTCCTTCTTTCCTTTGCCATTCTCAATGGATTTCGTAATGTGCAGAACCTAGTTTCTCGAGTCAAGCGTAAGACCTGTAACTACGACTACGTCGAAGTGTCTGCTTGTCCCAAAGGCTGTCTCAACGGTGGTGCTCAGTTGAGAGATGTACCAGTGGACCCGGCGGTGAACTCACCTGGAACGGTCGATCCAGCAATTGTTGCCTACGAGCAAGTACAGCAACTGTACGAACAACTGCCAACTGATCCGTTCTTTGGCTTGGATATTCCACACCTTCAGCTGGAGCAACTGCATCTGGCAAACCGACAGCTGTACGAGGCACTCGAGCTAGATGAGACGATGATTGAGCAGATGAAGACACAGTTTGCCGTAATTGAGAAGACGTTCAATATTCTCAATTCCAATTGGTAGCCATAACGATGATTTTCTTTAAATAAAAATCGTGATTTTACAAATTAAAATCAGACTTCAAATATGCTATTTTCACCTGTTTTGATACGTTAGGGTGGCTATAGGTAATGTTTATTTATTTTTTGCAAAAACTCTTGCACGTTTTCTTTTTGGTTTTCCTTGGTTTTAATCCTAAAACTCAAGCTTTTTATTGGTATAACAAATTTTTCTGGTAACTGTCATTGTTATTTATCATAATTACTAACAAAATTTTTTTTAGATTCTCGTTGTTGATTTTGTATGAAGATAACGTCAAAAATTCGCAATTTGAATGGATGTTCCTGAGACGTGGCTTTATTACACTCTTCTTTTGCCGGCATCTTTTGTTGCATCAATATTTTTCATTTTTCTTTCTTGGCTTGGTTTTCAAATGTTTATCAAAAATTGATTTTTAAATCAGTCAGAACTAGTCCATTTGAAGAAGATGGTTCACTCACCTACTCCAAATGATGCCACTGCCGCATTTCCAAACTCAAAGTATTCCTTCTTTCTTCGCAACTACGATCGAGCTGGTGATTGGCTTCGCAAAAATGGCTTTAGAGGCCTACGACCTGTACCAAATGAGTTTCAAATGCAAACCGCCTCATTGTCTCATCGTCCGACTTCTAATACCACACTCCAAGCAGATCAACTACGCGCTCCACCAGTTGCCTCCTTAGAAGAGAAGATAGTTGAGGCGCCCCTCAATGAGCTTTCAACAGAGACTGCAAATGTGAAGAAGGTGAACAACATTCGTTTGCAGGAAATTCCACCACCGTCGTTAAGTATTGACGAGGAATACTTGCGTGCCGCGGAAGTGAACCGGCGCCACATTGCTGAAAGAGATCGTTTTAAAAACAACTCCAACTCTAACTCTAGCTGGGACAGCTCCACTCGAAAAAGCCAACCGGCCAAGCTGCACTCTGCGCCAACATCTTCACCTCAGATTCAGTACGTTGACTACTGCAAAATGGAAACATACGTAACGCGATCAGTTGCTCCATCGCCTCTCAACCAGTCGCACAACGCATCTAACGGCGCTAGTTCCGTGAAACCTAGTTCGGCTACCAATTTCAAGCACAACTCAAAAAGTCGCAAGAATAACAAAGGGATGAGTTTTACCTCTAGCAGTTGGCACAAGAAGCTACATGAACAGACAAAGAGCAAACTTGGCCCAGGAGGCACTGATTATGACCGCTTTTACGGAGGTGGCGCCAAAGCGGCTAGCGTCATCAAAGCGCGTGAAACTGAACTCCAAGTCAATTTTGACCGTTTTTCCGATCGTCATCAGCCAAAGCTTTGGCCCCAGCTACCGGTGCAACTCAATTTTAACAACCAGTAGTGTTTCGGCGACACCTTTCACCACCGGAATCAGTTTCACTTTCTCCCGGGTAAACTTTTGTTCGTCACTCTAAACTGAATCTCTATATAGCATATTTGACAATACATTGACGCGCATTCAGTCACCCTCCAGTACTTCATTCTTCTTTTTTCTAATCTGATAGTTTACTTAAAGTGCACTACGTTTCGCCTGTATATAATATATAGAAAGATGTGTAGTATAGTGATTGCTGAAAACGAAGTAATTTTAAAGCTTTCCAAGCAGGCAACGCCAGAAAGCTGCCTTCACTTCGGCTGGGCGCGAATAAATCATCAATTGCCGCCAACCACCGTCCTTCCGCTGGGCAGTGACTACACTCCACCACTCTCCGCCACAGAGGGAGACAATTAAAGCGAGGGCCACCATTGGATGGCTCAGTGGTGAACAGAGCGAGAGCCCTGCAGTGGTGTTTGCAAGCAGATCGATAAACTGAGCTGAGAGACAGGGCGAACAGTGCTCTCTAGCACGCCGCGAGAGACTCCAGTCGAATCTCATCTCACATTGGGAGAGCAGCCAGTTAGGCGGCAAAGTACGTTCAACCAAAGACCGTTTTACGAGTTCAAAAGAATGCTCAGCATCTTTTATTGCTTTGATTGAGTGTGAGTGTCTGTGGGTGTGTTTGTGTTGGTGTGTGTGTGGGATTTGTACAGAATTTGTATAAAGTGTTCTTTGAAAGATGTCAGTACAAAAGAGAGAAAGAAAATTGTCGTGCAAAAGCTACTTTACTTTGGACGTGTGTGGTAGTGGTTGTGTTAAAATGGAAGATGAAAGAAAACAAATTTACAGATGCTAAAGAGAAACGAAGAGGAAAAGGAAGAAGCAAACAAAGTGGTTTGGAAGTATATAGAATACAGAATATAGAAAGAGAGAGTTCTGCTGCCTTTGCTGCTTAATTGTGTATAGGAAGCAAGAAACAGGGAGAACTCATTTATTGGAAAGAAAAAAAATGAAGGAAAGTGAGTGAACGAGAGAGAGAGAAAAAAGAGAAAAATCAAATAATAAACAAGAAGACAAATGACACGGAGGGAAAATTGATCAACCCCAACAAAAAAATGCTGTAGTAATGTATGCATTGCCTGCTGGTATATAATATTTTTTTATATACGACTCAAACTGAAGGGGAAATAAAATTCGACACAAGAATACTCCGCTCGAGCACGGTTTGTGCGTGCCATATTAGAGCAGGCAATCAGGTCGTAAGATGTATAAGAAGTAAAAGGTAAGAATTATATTGGAAGAAGGTGGTTTATAAATATATAATAATATATATATTTTTTTCATTATCCTTGCGGATTCGTATAAATATAATAAGAATAATATATATAATAAAAGAGTTGATATAGAGAAGATGTATATCAATAAATGGATTGTAAGAGAAAAAGAGAGAAAGGGGATAAATGCCAAGGAAGATAAATTAAGTTAAGAGCGAGAGAGAGAGCGAAAAGAGAAATTGGCAAAAGTAGAAGAAGAAAAAAGATGAGAAGAGAACGTGGAAAGAGAGAACAAAATACAGTCAGTAAAATAAAAAGTGATGAGGATGATGTCGTAATGGTAAAGTGTGTCGATAAATAAGGTGGGTGAAATGGTAAAGAGATGTAGATGAAAAAGAGAGGAAAAGGACGCAGTTTATTGACGTGTTTTGTCCGTTTGAGAGAGAGATAAAGAGCGGAAGGATGAAGAGGATGAAGGTGGTGTAAAAACAACAACGGTGATGATGAGGCGATGAAAGGAGAGAGTTTATGTGGAAGTTTGGCTTAGAGTTTTGGGGTGGTAGTCGTGAAATCGATGACGGTTGATGGTGGTGGGAAGAGTGTGCGTGAAAAAGAATGAGAATTGCTTTGTACAAAGGAAAGGTCACCTTTTTGGAGGAGGTTCCTTTTGATGCGTGAGTAGGAAAAGGAGGAAAGTAAAAGACTGTGATTGCTGGTCAAAGGAAAATAGTCCGTGTTGATACTGCTCCGAAGTGCTTTGGCTGAACTGGAAAGGGAATTGGATGATGGTGGTGCTGTAGTGGTAGTTGGACTGTTGTACAGAAAAAGTAGTCTGCTGATGTTGCAATGGAAGAATCTGGTTTTGACCAGTTTGGAGAGTTCTTTAGGCATTTTTGGATTTGCAGCAGAGTTTTTCACTTTGGACTGTGTGTGTGCTAAAGGCGCAACACTTCTCAATCATTTTTGAACTTCTTAGGCTTTGAACTGTTGAATAGGGTCGAAACACTCTGTCAGTCTGTGTTTGTTGTTTTTAGTCGGTAGCAGAAGGGCAGAGATGCAAGTAAAGGGAGAAGGAGAGAAAGTGGAGAAGGAGGAAGAACAAGATGATGTATAAAAGAGGGAGTGTAAGGCAGTGATCAGGTGGTGATGGAGGCTGAGGATGTGGAAGGAAGGTGCTGACTGGTGGTGACTTAGATCAATGATGATGATGATAATGCGCAGGAAACAATGAGGAGTGGTCAGCGGATTAGAAGTACCCGTAGTTGGCACTCTGACCGCCTTGCGGTCCCATGCCACCAGCAGGATAGCCGCCCTGTTGACCAGTACCGTAGGGCTGCTGCTGCTGCCCAGTGGGTCCCCCGGGTCCGCCTAGGCCTTGCTGCTGTTGCTGCTGGGCCCAGTACTGCTGCTGCTGAGCCTGTTGCTGTTGCTGCTGTGGGAAGCGCTGCTGAGACTGCTGCATTTGCCCCGGTCCTGGTCCGTTCATCATCGAGTTCGGCTGCGACTGCTGCTGGCCGTAGTTGGCCATTGCCTGTTGTTGTTGTTGTTGTTGTTGGCTCATTGGTCCGCTGAATCGCTGCTGTTGCATTCGTTGCTGCTGTTGAGCAGCCAGCATTTGTTGCTGTTGTTGTTGTTGCTGCTGTTGACTGAATGCAACCGGGCCATTCTGCTGCGCCATCATGCCTCTCTGGGCGCTCATTGGTCGCTGCTGCTGAGGTCGATGTTGCTGTTGAGCCATCATCGGTGTTTGCTGCTGCTGAGATTGCGTGTTGAAGGGCGGCCCTCCCTGCTGCTGCTGGTTACCGGCTGCCATTTGCTGATTCCGAAGTGCTGCCGCTTGCTGTTGCTGTTGGTAGTAGACGTTCTGCTGCTGCTGACCACCAGGGCCACCCATCTGCTGGCCGGCCCCAGGACCGCCCATCTGTCCACCCACCGGTCCGTTGATGTACATTTGCTGCTGTTGCTGCTTCATCTGCTGTGGCCTCGTTTGCATTTGCTGTTGCTTGGCCATGGCAAACTGCTGCTGTTGCTGCTGTTGGTTGGTCATCGGACCTCCCATCTGACTAGGCATCGGTCCTTGCTGACCGTAGTTCACCTGCTGACTGGCGGCTGACATTCGCATTTGCTGCTGCTGGTTAGGCTGCTGCTGTTTCATTCTCGGCCCACCCACCGAGTTCATCATTGGCCCAGGGGATGGACCACCAGGGCCAGAGAAGGCGTACGGATCAACTGGTCCATTGCTCATTTGACTGTTCCACTGGTGTTGCTGCTGCTGCTGTTGTTGTTGAGCCTTGTTTGCTTTCTGCTGTGCCATTTGTTTTAACTTGACGGAAGCGTTGGCATTCGCTCCCCCGGCACCATTCGGACCGCCACCGCCTGGGCCGATGGGCATCATGCCTGCATGAGGCGGCGTCACCGACTGATGCGGATGAATGGGCGAAGGTGTGTTATTGGCCCTCATCATGCTGTGATTCAGGTGCACCATTCCGTCCGGACTGGGCGTGTGCTGAACTCCCGGGTGTCCTGGCGGACCGCCGAGGTGGGCACCACCGCCCACTGGAGTTAGCAGACCAGGGCCACCACCCACGGCGCAGCCAGGACTAGGGCCAGAGCCGGGACGAGGCATCATCTGGGGAGATTGGAGGCCGCCATTCGGTGAGCAGCTGTTGCTGTTCATCTGTGGTCCGTTCAAACCGCCACCACCTCCGCTCATCATCATCTGCTGACTATTGGGGCCAATGGAGCCCATGGAGTTGTTATTGCCAACGAATTGCTGCTGTTTCATCTGCTGAGGTGAAGGCCTGCCAGGCCCCATGCCGCCACCAGGGCCGTGCTGGGCAAAGTTGGACTGTTGGCCGCTATTGCTCTGCAGTTGTGAAGGCACTTGATGTTGCTGCTGCTGCTGTTGCTGCATGCGACTCCCCAGGGGCGTCATTCCCATTGAATTAGGTCCTTTGGAGAGCGTGTTGATTGAAGGCAGTGGAGAGTGTGTCGAGACGGAGTTGCTGCTGCTGAACATCTGCTCGAGGCTGTGATTTGATCCGCCGGGACCAGAGGCACCAGAGCCCATGGACCGTTGATGCTGTTGCTGCTGAGGAAAGGGAGGCGGTCCGTTGGCCAGTGGACTGGGCGTTGAGTGGCCTCCGTGGTAGCCGACATTCGGTGCATGGTTCATCGGTGAGCCGATGCTGTTCGGAGGACCAGCAGCACTGTCCAGACCGTTCATCAGCTGACCAGCAGCACCAGTGGCAGCGTGAGGAGGAAGAGAGGGAGGATGAGCACCACCGGCACCGTTGATGAGCGAACCAAAGTTGTCATTGAGATCACCCACCGCCATTGGGCCGTTGCTGATAAAGTCAGAGTTGCCGGCCTCGATTTCCTCGAGAAACTTGGTAATGAATTCCTCGTCACCGAACTGATTGAGAATGTTATCGTCGGCAAAGTCGGCTGTATCAAAGTTATCAAAGTGCAGTGTACTGCTGCTGTTGACAGTAGTCACCGAGTTGATGGAAGAGGAGGAGGAGGAGGAGGAGTGCTGACTGTTTGTGACTATTTGCCCGTTCATAATGCCTCCGCCGCTGTGGCTGGTGAAGACGGAGTTGACGCTGCCATTGGCAGTGGGCGGCGGGTGAGGCGGCGGCGGTGGTCCGAGCATAGCCAGCTGGTCGATTATGTTCGACTCCTCAATGATGCCCGGCTTCTCGTCGGCCAGTTGGCCGTCCACGAGCAGGTCAGTAATGCAGGAGTCCAGCCTGTCCATGTTCAGCGAGTCAAAGGAGGCATAGGCGGAGGAGGCGGTGGTGACGGGCGACTGCTGCGTCGGGTGGTCGTGCAGTTCACTCTTAATATTCAGACTGGAAGACTGGTGGTGGTACGAAGACTGCTGCTGGTGGAAGTGCATCTGCCCACCACCCGGAGGACCATTTAGGTGGTTAGAGTGCGGACCTGAAGAGGAAGGTAGGTTGGTTCATTAGTCACACTGAAAGAAAAGGGAAGGCCTTCACTGAAAAGTTGCTCTTACCATTGACATTGCTCATCATGTGTGGCGTTCCCACCATCTTCATCTCACTGGACTCGAACTTGTAGACATTGTTCGGGCCGTGAGCACCGTTTCCTCCACCACCGACGCCGTTCATGTGATTGTGATGCTGGTGGTGTTGGGGGTGGTGCATGCCGTGAGGATGGCCGTGAAGTCCATCTGAGGTAGTGTTTGGTGCATTGCCCTGCTGGTGCGACTGCATCATCATCTGCTGCTGTCCATTGCTGCCCACCATCATCGGATCGGAGACGGATGACTGCTGGTGCTGGGCGGCTGCAGCCTGTGCTGCCTGAGTGGCCGCAGCTGCCGCAGTTGCTGCAGCGCTCTTCTTGCGACTCTTTGCCGTCGTTTTGGCCACCTTGGCCGGCTTTGGCCCAGGACCGGTGGTGGTGTTGGCACCGCCGAGGCCAGTAGCTCCGGGTCCCATCATGGGTCCGCCGCCGTTGGGGCCACCGCCACCTGCGCCTATGCTGCCTGCAGCACCGGGCGGTCCGACGACCTGCTGTTGGCCGTGTGCTCCACTGGGCCCGTTCATCATGGCGCCCATTGGACTGGCGGCGGCCATTGGACTCTGGGCAGCGGCTGCTGCGGCCGCCGCTGCGTTCATCGCTGCGGCGTTTCGCTTTGCCCCTGCGCCATTCCTTGCCCTTCCCCCGCCCGCCCCACCGGGACCGCCTTTCTTTGACTTGCTGCCCGTGGAGGCGGCTGCGGCGGCTTCATTTTTGATGATTTGTTTGCGCAGTTTTTCCGTTTCCAGAGCGGACTTGCTGTAGTTAGCATTCATTGCAATCGCCTCCTTGCGCAGTGCATTGTTCTGGTGTTCCCGGTAGCTGTTCATTCGATTTTCAAACCTCTGCGCAGTGTCGTACGGATTGTTGCCGTACTGGTCCACAAAGTTGGCCTTTGGTGAGGCCGAGTTGGAAGAGTTGTAGCCTCCGCCCTGCTGCTGCTGCACGTTCATGCCTGATGACGGAGGGCCATTGGGCGGTCCAGCAGAGACCGGCGGCGTCCGTGCCTGACCAGGATGGTAAGGATGGACAGAGCCGTGTTGTGGGGAGGGCGAGGCGTTCGGTGTGTTCTGCTGGTGCTGCATCTGAGACTGTGGTCCCTGCTGCTGCTGCTGTGTCTGATAGGGATGAGGACTGCTAGAGGCAGAGTGGGCTGACCCTCTGGAGGGCGTGGGCGAGGCTGCCGGGTGGTTGCTATTGGGGCCCATCATGCTGCCCGGCCCGCCGTTCACCATCATCCCCGGTGAGCTGCTGATGGGCGGCGGTTGGTGTCCGTGGTGGACCATCATTACCTGATTGGGAGTGGATGCGCTGGGAGGCGTCGAGTTGGGCGCCATCATCGCCTGCTGTCCCTGGCTGATGGGCGCTGAGTTCACTGCTACCCCGCTGCCGTTCATCATCATAAAACTGCTGCCGTTCGAGGGAGCGGAGACAGGAGACAGGTGGTGGTGGTGGTGTTGGCTGCTGGTGCTGTGAAGTGGTGAACAGTTGGGACTAGGTCCCGCGGTAGAGGATGCAAGCGAAGGAGCGGAGGAGGAGGAGGCGGCGGTAGAGCTAAGCTGACTGAGCAGGTGAACAGCACCATTTTGGGAACCGAGAGGCGAGCCGAGGGCAAGTGGTGACTGCTGTTGCTGATGATGATGCTGCTGCTGCTGATTGCCGCCGTTTGTCGAGCAGTGTGAAGGGTAGTTGTTGGTCGGTCCTGCCGACGACGGTTGCTGCTGCTGGTGATAGCTGCTGGAGTTGTTGTTGTTGTTGATCGAATTTGAATTAGTCAGCGGGGCAGACGATGCTCCGCCGGTAGGGCCGCCGGTAGAGCCCGTCGAGCTGGGCCAGTCGGCCAGTGGCAACGGCGGCAGCAAAGTTCCCGGTGTGGAAGCAATCTTTGTGCCGGACGGTGGGCGACCGATTGGGGAGGGTGATGCAAGGCTGATCGTCGTGGTGGACAACTGAAAGAAGGGGAAAAAGAAGAGGTGAGAAGGAGAGAATAAAAAGAGGTGTCAGGAAAAGATGTAAACACTGATGGCTCGCAAACACACACTGGCACATGCACGGTGGTGGAAGTGATGGTGATGGGGAAAGGGCACTGAAGAAGGTAGTGGAGAATATGATGAGGATGAGGATGAGAATGGTCGGGATCAAAAATGAAACAATGAAGAAGAAAATGAAGAAAATGAAGTCGACGAGGCTTCTGTCGAAATTTGGCCACTGAGCGACGATCCTTATCAGTGTGTTTGCTCGATCGATCGAGCAGCGCCTGCAGTTAGCGTGAAGAAGTTTCTTCTTCTACTTCTTCTTCTCCAAAAGCTATCTCAGCTACTGCTAACAGCTGATAACAAAAAGAAACGATAACTGATAAGCAGGAGAGAGCACCTTCTTCTTCTTCTTCTTCCTCTGCCACCACTACTTCTCATGTTGTGCGTAAAACCGTTGGAGTACCGTAGTCACTGGCGTCAGTTGCCTCTGTACCGATGTGCAGTGTAACTCTTCAGCTGATCATCCGTCTTCTTCTTCTTCTTCTTCTTCTTCTGCAGCGTCGCCGTGCTTCAACAATTCCGCAGTGACATCATTTGCATAGAACTGTTGTTCGTCGACTGCTATCTCCCTCTCTTTCTCTCTCCCTCGCTCTTTCTGTATTTTGCTTCTCTTCTACAGTTAAGCTGCTGTGTTCTCTTCTCTCATGAAGTATTTTTTCGTTCTATTAGGTCGCGACCGAGTCCGGTTGAGTGTTGCTGTTGCTGTTGCTGCTGTTGCTTCACAGACGAGTGAGCTGCTTTTCGAAACAAAAATGAAGAGAGAAAGAGTGGCCAAGAGAGTTGATTGTTCGAGCTGGAAACTCTTCCAACAGCTGCTGCTGGTTGCAGTCTCCGAAGAGAAGAGGATCGCGCTCGCCTTGCGCCGTTTGCTCTCCTCGAAAACTGTTGCTGCTGTTGCTGCTGATGCCGATGCAGTCTCATAGACACTCACACACTCATAGAGTCGGCTGACAGTCGGCTGGAGGCTGCTCGAAGCGAGTTAGCGGCGGCGGTGGTGGCAGCCACTGCGCCAGTGAGCGAGCCAGCGACTGGCGCCCAAAGATGAAGTGAAGAAGAAGAAGGAGAAGGAGGAGGAGGACAACGATTGCTGCCGTTCAGGAGGGAGACTGCGCGAGACAACGGAGCTGTTGCTGTTTGCTGCTGCTGCTGCTGTTGCCGTTGCTGATGGTCGTCGCAGTCGTGGTTTTGCTGGTCCGTTACTGGATGGATGGATGGACTGCAGGCTGATGATGATGATGATCGTCGCCGTGGTGGTGGTGGCGGCGGTGATCGTTGCTGTTGCAGCAGTACTGCTGAGGAGATGCCTACGCCTGCCCCTACTGCGCTGAACTGAACTGTGTGTTTCAGCGCGCCCTGAACATTTCCCAATCAAGCCTACTTCTGTATCAGTCTGCTGATTCAACAGAATAACAGGTGCTAGGTGCTACAGGAATATATTCAGTTGACAACCCTCAATCAGGCTAGCTAAAATTACCTAAAGCCACGTGGAACCTCCGCAGCTGCAGGGGAAATATTCGAAATGTTCTAAAACACGTCAATAGAACAATACAATCATAAAAATCAAAATAAGATGGGTACCAGAGAAAAGAACTACAATATTTTATAGCAGAATAAGAGTATCCGATACAGGCTCATAGGAATATCATATCATCATCATCGCAAGTTGCCGTTGTTATTGTTGCACCGATGTGGTCTCTCAATCACCACCACCACCAGCAGAAGCAGCAGCAGCACTGGCACTGGCTACTACTGCCGCTTGACGCTGGCTGATAAGTGGCGTCAAAGTGGAACTGAGGCTACTGCTGGTGCTGCCACTGTTGTTGTTGTTACCACTGCCCTCTTGCAGTACCAGTCTTTCGGAGTCTATCTCTCCCTCTCATTCGCTCTGCTGGAGCAGTGGTACAGAGCAGAACAGTGCAGCGGAACACACAGCACGGACGCTGTACGGCAAACGCACGAATGAGCCGCGAGAGCCACTGTACGGCGACGGCGGCGGCGGTGGCTGTGGTGCCTCCGCAACCACCGGCACACACTTGGCACTTGTCTCCGTTGGTGACGATGTTGTCAATCGAGAGTGAGAGGAGTCGGAGCAGAGAGGATGATGGTGCCGATGGTGGTGATGATCAGCAGCCAAAAGAGAATACGAGAGAGAGAAAGAGAAGCCCCAAGCGCTGGTTTACTGGTCACCGCGCAGATGAGAACGAGAGCAAGAGAGCGAGTCAGCCAAAGGCAACCCAAAAGGGGGAGAGAGAAGAATACGTAGGTAAGTGAGAGAGAGAGAGAGAGAGAGAGAGGAAAGTACTGGGTAAACAATGGGCAAAAGTGTGACCATATAGAAGAAGGGACTGCTGCTGCTGCTGATTTAAGTAGTAATATGATGGAAGTTTTTGCCTATTTGTCGCCTGGAAATAACCTCCCACCAAACTAAACTTTTCAGTAAAAAATGAAAACAGAATACATCTCCCCAAACACCAAGTATTTTTGATTGAGAAAAGCAAGAGGTGTGTCTCCTCCTCTAGTTTTCTCTCTCTTTCTCTCTTTTTTCTTGCGACAGACGGAGGTGATGTCAGTTGAAGGATATACCGATTAGTGGTCGCTATGGTGAGTCGTGGTGGTGGTGGTGTTGCTGGTGAAAGATGGCTGCGGTGGGCGCTAAGAGTCGGCAATGTCAGTAAGAGTGTACAAGTGCAAAGGCAGAGAACACTGTTGTAGTGCACTTTCTGCTGTCATTTTGCACAGTGCTCGATTCTGGCCAACTCTAAATTCCTGCAAAGACAGAGAAGGTAGAGGAGGAAGAAAAGGAGGAGGCGGAGAAATGAATGCATTTGAGGGGAAAATGAAGGTGAAATTGACCATGCAGGAAAAATGTCAGTGTCATACAGCTGTTTCTCTGTATGTGTGCTTGTATGGTTGGGTGAGTGTACGGCTGATTGGAGGTAAGGTGGAAGGCTGGTGGCAGTAGTGATAATAGTCTGCCATTGCTCTGCACAGTTACAGTCAGCGAATCGATGTTGATAAAGAAAGAGGTTTAAACAGCTAAGCTGCCTAAAGCGGAAAAGCTAAGCTACCGCCAAAAGAGAGAAAGAGAGAGCAATTCAACGGCAGAATCGGCAACTCTTCAGATCTTTTAAGCAGATTAAAACCGGTAGAGAAGGGAAACGAGAGTCAGATTGGTTTCAGGAATTAAAAACGGCGACAAAAGTGGACATTAAAGGAAGAATCGACCAGTCTGAAGGTGTACTTTACTTGGAAGAAGAAGTAGTAAACGGTTAAGTGATAAAATGCTGCAGCGTACTGCAGTTGTATGTTGCTGCTGTTGTTGCTGGTGAGGTTGCTGTCGGTGATGCAGATGAAGAAGAGGTGACAGGAGGATCAGTGTGGAAGTGAGCGTGCATGTGTCGGTCTGTGAGCGAGCAAGTGTCTGTATGTGTCTGTCTGTGTTCAAATATAATTGCATACCACTTACCGATCAGAAACAGCTGTAGTGTTGCTGTTGCTGTTGAGCTTCAAGTTTCAACGGGTGAGGAGAAGAGGGGGAAAGCAAAAATTGGTTTGCTGCTTTGCATAATCGGATCACTTCGTTTGGACGCCGAGATGCTTAGACGGGCAAAAGAGAAATTAAAAGTCAAATTGTTTACTGTTTTTTGCGTGGGCGTGGGAGAGATCCAGGGAAAAAAAGAGAGAAAGGGAGATTAGGGAAGTGATGAAGGGAAGAGAATGAAGTAGAGAGTGTGTGAGGCGACAGTGGAAGTTGGAAGGTGGAGTCGCCTAGAAGGTGTGCTGTCAGAATCAGTTCAGTGGACAGAAGGCCGATTGATTGAAGTACTGCAGCTGGCTCTGCAGACTGTGATCATCACAAGAGCAGGTAGTGAAGCTGCTGGAGGTAGAAGTAGACGAGGTGGACTTTAGGTGAAAGGCAGACGTCAGATTGGCGGCGGCGGAGGAGACGGCGGCTACGACAGTCGTCGTCGTCGACTGGTCAGTGGCAGACTGCTGCTGTTGCAGCTGATGCTGATGCTGCTGATGCACTTGCTGTTGCTGCAGTGATTTCGGCGGCTCCCACGTGAAGCCAAAGTACAGTGTGAGAAAGAGCGACACGAGGGAGAAGAGAATCTCAAAGTACTTCTGGTTGACGCACAGTAGCAGAAGCATCATTCACCGCAGACAATAGGGGAAAAAGAGACCTTGCTTAGGTCACTTGCCTCTCTCAGTGTGGAGGATCATCGGAGGGGACAATGGTTAAGTGGGTAACAAAGGTGTTGGTGATAATCGGTGCTAAGGGGGAGAGTAAACTTGTAGAGCACCTAGCTGTTGTTCAAGTGGAAGAAGTTCATCATCGTGACGCTCATCTGAGGCACTGA